TACAAGAACTATTAATAATGCTGATCTGAATTGGTTTACTAATGGGTCTTATTTGAAAGAAAAAGTGGGAAAATATTGGGTAGGCTATGCTGTAACTGCAATCATAGAGATAATTGAAGCAAATCCCTTACCAGGGTCTCCTTAGCCCAAAGAGTTGAACTTCTTGTTTTAACTTGAGCTTGCCTTTGGGGAATGAACAAAGTAGCTAATATGTGTACAGATATGTCTTTTAAGTAGCACATGATATTGGTATGCTTTGGAAACACTCAAAATTTTTAACCTCTTGTGGGTAGAAAATTAAAACAGCACTTATGTTTAGATTCACTATCATCATTAGTTATATAATTAAGCAAACCCTGTTTAACTAAATTCAAAGACATTGATTCCTGAAATTCATGATTCCCATTTATAGAAAGTTTTCATGCCTGCCTGTTGTTGCACTTCTACCAGGAACCTGAAACTCAAGATTCCGAAACAAAGAAGCAGATGACATCTGACATAATAACTTTTCCAAGATTTGGAACCAGGCCTCTAGCAGAAAACATTGGACTCTTAGTACTTGTATTATTTATAATTCTTACGTTTCTTACTATGTTGACATTCTTCAGTTACTAACCAAAACATTAGTCACTCATGGTACTTCTTATTGCTGTTAACACTCATTACTGTTGAAATTATTACAACATCTGAATGGGGACCAGACACATATCAGTAGAGTTAGAGATCAAAAGAACTGGCCAAACACATTTGGAATCTCATGTTACTAACTGATGTACCTATAGCTTCATGATATATTTAAGTTTCAGTTTATTAATAAATAATCTAATGTGGTAACTCTTCCCCTCAGCTTAGTCATATAATAATTCAAGTGTTTCTTACCTTTTCATTTTTAGGATATTTGAAACCATGGTTTTTCACTCTTACAGCTCTACTGTTATTTTAATTTGACTTACATTCTTCTACAAAGACCTTTCCAAGAAGATTTGGGGCAAAAGAGCCTTCATAATTTTTTAAGATATAGTAATTAACCAGAGTGCTTGCATGGGCCTATCTCATTCTTTTGTTCCAACATATAAAATCTAATCTCAAGGATAGTCCCAGGGCAAATTATGCTCACAGTATTCCTAAACTGGTAGCTTGGCCTTTATCTCTAGGAAATTGGAGAAAATTAACAGTAAGAGGTGTAGGTTTGAGTTATGGACATTTTGAAACCATTTATCAGCTTCTGGAAAGCAAGACACAGATGTTACCTTATTTTACTGCATTCCCACAGCCCATTACATCTTCCCTTGTGCATTGAAAACATTAATGATAGAGGGGAAACTTGGGATTAACTTCCACTTAACGTTTATAATTTAACTTTCTCAAACACTGTTTGACCATGTATTTATACCTTGGAGGAGTATAAAAGACCAAGTTACCTACCATAATGTCTGCTTATAGTGGGGAAATTTCCATTTTAATGGGACTGGAAGTTGGGAGGCAAATGTTCTCCCCTTGAATGACAATCATTAGGGCATAGATCAAAGGTCAGAAGAATAACAGGAATTAAATAAAACGTATATTTTCCCTTACCTGGCATCTCTCCTAATTTGAGTAGCCAAACTCAGTCTCATCTTATACTTCAGGTTTACAGAAACCTCTGCTCTCCCTATATCCATTCTCCTAGTAATTCTTGTACTGATTATCTTCTGTGAAAGTGATTACCTTTATGACCTTGCGATACACTCATTTGACCTGAATGAGTCTGGGCTCAGAGCTCTACCTATTGCCTTTCTCTTGTAAACACTGGATATTTCTTTTTATGTGATGCCAACATTTTTCCACCCTCCCTATGTCATGGAAGGGATTTTGTGGGATAGTCACTCCTGCTCCAGATGCAACAATCTGGATGACCCTTCCTTGGACTACTCATATCCTAAACTTGGGATCTTTTCTTTTCAGTTTATTAACTAAAAAGAACCAAAAGAAACATGGGTTTCAAGAACTTCCTACATATAATTCAATAGTAGATGATGCAGAGTTTGGTCATGCCTTTGCCAGGGCTCTTAATTTCCCAGTAATCCCAAAGGGGTTACTGCCTTTGAGAAGTCCATTTGAAATAGGTCATTTGTGATAACTGAAACTTTTAATGCCATCCAGTGAGTCATCTAATATCAACAAAATCAGATAGATAGCTTGGCAGAAACTGATATTCAAAACAAAGGCCTCTTGATTCCTAATTTGCCCAACAAGTGAGAACTTCAGCCATCCTACCCAAAGAAGGCCATTTTTATGTGAGTGAATGTCACCATATAAAATAAGAGATAAAGTTTATATAAGTGATAGCATAAATCTCCTTAATGACATAGGTCACTCCACTGGACTGTTAAATAATTTTGATCTATGTAGTAGGTCATCAGGAGGAATTTGATCTTCATTCAGACCTTATTACAAACTAAACTGATCTTGCTTATATTAAGTATCATTACTATAACAAAATGCCTATTTAGATTAGCTGTCTTAAAGTCTTAGAAAAACTCAGATTATGTTTGCACAGCAGATTATGATGGGACCGCAAAATAAAAATGCAGTTGACTGATCACTCCCTTAATGGAGCTAGAGGAACCCAAAGTGGGGGAGCCTACCACTCTGTCTACAGGGACCAATGCTGTTTTCTTGATGTTTTCTACTAAAAATCACATCACAACTCTGGTGTGAATTATGCATGATAACCACTTTCTTATTTTGGTTTGTGTATATTTTTGTTCAATATTTATGTAACTCTGAAAAAGTTGTTTGCTTTTTTTTTTAAAGATTTATTTATTTATTTATACAAGCACTGGGTACAGTCAGAAGCGTGGGAGGGTGAGAGAATACACCAGAGCCAGAGAGGAGAGCAGAGCAGGCAGACAGACGAAGTACATGGCTGAGGGGAGCAGCGGGCCGGCAGGAGAGGTCTGCGCGCCACCTGGGACCCTCGCCAGCGGCTGGGATGGAACCGGTGCTGCAGAGGCTGTGCCACCAGGGGAGGCCCTGTTTTTTTGGAGTGAATATTGAGTGTTTAGGACAAATAGACTGATATGAATACAGACAACAGGAAAGTTTACCTTGGGACATCGGACACTGCACAGACTCCTGTATGTTTACAGAATGTTTTATGTCCGGTTGCTTTACTTTAAATTTAAAAGGTACACTGATGGAGACAGCGCCCATATTTCTCCCCTCCCCCCTTTTTGTTTATTTTGTATTGCGTAATTCTCAAGCACTTTAAAAATGGTTAAAAAGCATTTGCCCACACCCATATAAATATCATTTTGCCATATTTGCTTGGCCAATTTTTGCTGAGAACTTTTTAAATTTACAAAGACATAATTTTATGCTAATACTTCACTATGCATGCTTTTAAACATAGAACATTTTCCTATGTCTGCTAAATATTATTTTTAACTGTAACCCATTATTCAAATTTCCTACTTTCTCCAGGGTCTTCGGAAGCTGTTTACTCAATCCGAATTTGATGGAGGACCAGCCCGTATTTAGCGATAAACTGAGGTTTAATCGCTAATATCGGGGGGAGGGGGGGTCTGAGACAGGTGGGTAGAAGAGGTCAAGAAGATCTGTCAACGACCTAAAAAAACAAAAAGCAAACAAACAAAAAAACAAAACAAAACCTTAAAAGCTGCGCAACCACCCAAGAAGAAGGCACCAATTCTAAGGAAAACGAAAAGCAGACTTCTGCGAAGCGGCCTTTCTCGCACAGCCCTCTGGGAACGGGTCCTTTTGCCCCGCCTGCGCATGTGCAGCCCTGGTCCCGCCTCCGGGCTTCCGCTCGCGGCGCGCTGCGTCCTGTGGCGCGTCTCTCGGCGCGGCTTCGCCGCAATAGGTCAGGTGAGCGTGCGGGGTGCGGAGAAATCTGCGTGGCCAGGGGCCAGGGCGAAGGCGTGGGTTTGTGCCCAGTGGAGGCGGCTCAGAAAGTGTGGTCTCCCCCCAGGCGGGACCCTGGAGACTTCAGTCAGTCGGGACCCTGCCCCTCGGGTTCCCTGGGCGGAGGGACTGAGCCAGGTTGGAAGCAGGTGCTGCGTGCGTCCTGGGTGGGCGAGGCCGGGTGCAGAGCTCTGCTTGCAGTCAGCTCGGGGAGCGGCCTTCCCTGGTGTGGAGACTGTGAAACTGGGTTTCTAACGTGATGGGGAGCGCTCCAGAAAGCGGGGATGATGGGTTTGCAGTGAGAACCCTACCTGTGAAGCCAGGAAGATCCTGGTAAATTCCAAGTCAACCTCCTTTATTCGGGGACGAGATAAGTAACCTAAGCAAGTGACAGGTTTCTCAGGTGACAAACCAAAATCCGCAGGAACAAATTTGAAGGTCTAATTGACTTTATCAGATTATAATTCATAAATTGGGCAGCATCCCATTTACTAAAAGTAGAAAGAGACCAGAATGTCACAAAATGGTAGGTGGACCTAAGAGCTTGAAAGTCAAAGAAAACAAAGGATTTTTTTCAGGCAAGGTTACTTTCACTTAAGGAAAGGGGGAGTGGGGCGGGGGGGGGGGCGGGGGCAGATGCCTTACTAGTATAGGACAAGAAATTCTAAATTGATTACTTTAATATTCCATTCTTGGCAGTGGTCTGAACCTCCAGTTAAATGAGTTACAAAGTCTTCAGCTGGGGGGTGAAGGGAGAGTTTAGCGGAGTGACTGCATTTTGGGCTTGCTGTCTCCTTTTTAACACTCAATCTGAAAATAGGGGCGTGCTTCTGAGAGATAGTTAGCACCTGTAAAGTAAATACACAGCCGAGGGACAGCTATATTCAGAAGACACTTTGTTCTATTTGAGGGGCTTATGTAAACTTCACAACCACATTATGATGCCCTAAATTTCCAAAAAACATAATTAAAAAAATAAAGCAACCAAGACTCACATTGGTGCTCAGATCACAAGTTGGCAGTAAGTGAGCTCCAATTCAAGGGCAGTTACTTTTTTTTTTAATATTAAATTTTTTTTTTATTTTTTACATCATTGGTCATTCTTAAACAATATTTGCTTCCCCACACCACCTCAGGTGTAGTCCCCATAGAGTTTCCTTCACCAGTGCACCCCAGCACCATCACCACAGTCCCCTGTGCTCCTCCCTCCCTCCCTCTGATCCCTCTCCCTCCTCCTCCCCTACAGGATGTCTCTGGTTTATAATTGTCTGTTTTTGCTTTGTTGTGTATTTTACTGTTGTTATTTTTTTACATTGATGTCTTATTTGGTTTCCCGATATTCCTGTTATAAGTGAAACCATCCGATATTTTTCTTTTTCCTTCTGGCTTATTTCACTGAGCATAATTCCTTCTAATTCCATCCACGTTGCTGCAAAGGGCTTGAGATTATCTTTTTTGATTGCTGAATAATATTCCATTGTGTTTATATACCACATCTTCTTGATCCAGTCATCTATTTTTGGGCAGTTGGATTGTTTCCAGGTTTTAAACCTATTGTAAATAGTCCTGCAATAAACATAGGGGAACAGGTGTTCTTTTGAATCAATATTTTTGTGTCCTTTGGGTAGGTCCAAGGGCAGTTACTTTCAATCTCAGGCTTCACCTGAACATCATACCTGCCCCCAAACCAGTGTTACAACTTGCAGAGCACTTGGTAGAGTGACCTGTCCCTGAATACCCAAGGATAAAATTGGTAGGGAATGCGAATGCAGTACAATGGAATTTCTGTTGTCTCCCCAGAATTCTTGGGCCAGACAGAGGCTCCTAACTCCTGCAGAACAGGTTGGTGGACTGTGTTTTAAGTCTGAAATTAGAGTAAACTCCACAAGTTTGTGACTGCAAAAGTAAATTTGATTTTCAGACCCAGGCCCCAAATATGAGAAAAAATTTATTTTAGAATAAAACAGTTTTTGTTTTTTTTTTTTTAATTATTGTTATTAAAGTACCCCTGTTGCACACCCTTGCCAGTGTTTTTCATGGTATGGGATTTCCCCTCTCGGGTGTAGTCCCATAGAACTCCCATCAACAAAGTACCCATAGTCCTCCACCAAAGTCCATTATGCATTATGCTCTCCACCCCTAACCTGGTCTTCTCTTTCCTCCCCCTCTCTGTCTGAAAACCATACATCTATGGTCAGTTTTCAAGGCTGGCTTTAAAGTTTGTCTTTGACCCTTTTATTTTTCTATATTCCACATATAAATGACTGGTCTTTTTCTGACTTGTTTCATTTAGCATAATCCCTTCTACCTCTATCCATGTTACTGCAAATGGCATGAGTTTATCTTTTTTGGTTGCTGAGTATTTTGTATATATAACACAACTTGATCTGCTCATCTGTTTGGAGGCATTTAGGTTATTTCTATATCTTGGCTACTGTAAATAGTGCTGCTGTTTCCTTTCGTATTGGTGTTTTTGTATGTTTTTGGTAGATTGCTGGGTTGTATTGCAGATCCAATTTTGGTCTCTTGAGAAACGTCACACTGCAAAGCTGTTCTTATGACATAGGAATCAGGAGGTCTCTTGGAATTTTACCTGGAAGAGGACACCTCTGTTTTCACTTTCTTCTCCAGAGCTTCAGAGGAGAAGGGAAAATAGCAGAATGGAATAGTGCCACATTTACCTGATCAGAAGTTCTTGATCCCCCTGCCCAGATTTGGACATGTAACCACATCCAGAAGCCACCACACTGTGACAATGGAGGATTTGAGCCATCCTTGAGTAGAGGGAGGTAAGCTGGGTAGGTCCAGTATGTCTTGTCTAGCAATGGCCACTTCGTGGGATAGCTTCTGAGGGGGAGAATGTCAACAGCTAGGAGTTGGAATTGTCTCCAGCATTGCTAAATGGCCTCCAGTCCCTTCATTCTTCATTCTTTACAGATGCTGTGCTTCTCTAAATGTACCCATCACCACATGTGGCATGACTGTCTTACAATGACCTCAACAGATTCTCAAAATGGTAGCTCAACCAGGGGTTTCATTATTATCTACTTCTGATTCTTGAATCCTTTAAGGAAATTGGACCTGAGAGTTTCAGTGACTTATGAGTTGAAACCCGTTTTGTCATAGAGCCAGGACAGCATAGTGCTGATGACTCCTACAAATCACCAAGCATCTTATGAATATAACCTTTCGAGAAATTAACACAGTGAAAACCTATGAAAATTGTTGCCTTAAAGCACTTCATGTTCCTTTTACTGGGCTTTCTGTGACCATTCTCCCTTTTGAGGTAAGCAATCTTATTAGGAATATAGTTTCCAACTGCAACCTAGTATTTTCCTGGATTAATTGTAATGAAAGAGCAAGACCTTCGGGTCTTGTGTTCTTTCTGTTAATTTTTCAGAAAAACAACTGAATTTCTGTTTAGTTGTAGAAAAGTTTATATTTAGTACATGAAAAGCTGTCGGTTTTGGTCCACATGACCTCTCCTGAGTGTTGTGTAACTAGGTGGTTCTTCCTCTGCCAGGTCCAGGCCTCCCAGCTGACCCTTCCAATTCTCTCCTCTCTCCCAAGAGCAACATGTAGGGTGAACTATTTACTCATTCCCCACTTTGCATTGTCACAGATTTATGAGATTTTTAAGTGTTCTTACATTGAATGGTAAAGGAGAGATTAAAAATAAAGGTAGTCTTGGGAAAATACAGTTTGAACATTTGCTCTGATGTTTACTCATGGTTCTTTGTTGATGAGTATATTCCTTCCAGTTAGCAGTTTGCTTAGTGTTCTGTGTCATCATGATTATACTTTGAATTGTATTGAATACTTTTTTTTAATGTACTGGAATGAAGATATAGCTTATTTCCTTTAATCTATAAATACTGTGAGTAGCATAATGGATTTTCTAATATTTTATTGTCGATTTTTCTGTGTATGCTCTGCTTGCTGATGAATATATGTAGCATATGTATGTGTATATGTTACCTAGGAATGAATCTTTCTGCTAGGATTCATTTTTGTATCACCTGTCAGATGAGCTATAACTTCTTGTTATCCTATGCAATTTTGATTTTATGGTTAGAGCAGCTAATTTTTAAAAAAAGTATACTTTTTTCTTCGCTTAATGTTTTTTCTTACTGTAAGTTATATGAGAAAAAAATTCCTGCTTTTTGTGGAGGAATTTTGGGTGAAGATTTGCATATTAGAATTGGTTATTAAATGATCATGGTATCTCCTATGTTTTTCTCTCATCCTGTGTCTTTCAAAGAGCAGAAGCATTTAGTTGATCAAATTTTTAAATGTTTTAATCTTTTTATAAGTTATGCTTTTTTTGTAATATGTAAATTTTTTTTCCCTAAACCGAAGTCAGAAAGATTTTCTTATGTTGTTATAAGATTTGTAAATTTTGCTTACATGTGTGATGGTTTGAAGCACATTTGTTGAGAGAGAAATATCTTCTCCACTGAATTGCATCAGCTCCTCTATTTGGAATCAATTGATTTGTATTCTTTGTGGTTCTTTTTCTGGATTAGTATTTTTTTCTGTTGATCTGTGTCAGTAACACCATAATGTCTTGAAAACTGTTGTTTTAAAACAAGTCTTGTAATCAGTAACGTGAATCTCCCAACCTTTGTGTTTGTGTTTGTTTTTTTTAATAATTTTACTGGATATTCTATGCCCTTTCCCTCTTTAAAGAAGTTTTAGAATCCACTTTTCTCTCATCAAAATGCGCTCTGATTTGTGCATGATTGCACCTAGTCTATACATCTGTTTTAGACCTCCCTTGTATTCCAGAATCTTCTAACTAGCAGTACAGAGTCTAATTCCATTTGTATGCTCACAGATAAAGTACAAATGAACAACATCTGCTTCACTCTGTCCCTTTTCAGTAGTCTTTCTCCTGTATGTCTCCTTTACTACTCACATACTTTGTTTCTGACACTTCTGTTCAATATGTATGGGTTTTTCCCCACCACGCAATTCTGTGCAACATAAGATAGGTGTTCTACATTTAATTCAGTTCTGACTCTAGCTGCCTATAAATATCTGCTCCCACAGGTTTAAGCATCATTCCCACAAGACTGTTTGCCACTCACTTCAGATGCCATTTGCAAGTCAGATTGTCACCTGTGCTTCTGCTCTATCAATTAAAATTGTGAGGCTCTCTTAAAAAAAGCAAATAATCCAGTTAACAAATGGGCATATCTTTTACTAAAGAGGCTATCCATAAGGCCAAAGGACACATGAAAATAATATTGATCACTCTCCTAATAAGAGAGATATAGATTAAAACTATAATGAGATACCACCTCACCCCTGTGATAATGGCATATATCAGAAAGACCCCCAAGAACAAATGCTAGAGAGGATGCAAGAAAAAAGGAACCCTGTTGCACTGTTGGTGGAAATGTATACTGATGAAACCATTATGGAAAGCAACCTGGATTAACCTTAAAAAATTAAAACTGGAAATACCATATGACCCAACAGCCCTACTCTTGGGCATATATCCACAGAATATAATACTGTCAACAGAAAAACTCATGTGTTCCACATTATTCACAACAGCAGTATTTACAATAGCTAGAATATGGAAACAGCCTAAATTTACAATAGATGAATAGATCAAAGAGCTGTGGTATGCACATACCATGGACTATTACATAGCCACAAGAAAGGATGAAATACACCCATTTGGAGGGACTTTGGTGGAATTATGTGCAGCAGAAAAAGTCAGAACAATGAAAGCAAACACTGGACATTTATATAACAGACACTTTGACAACTTGAAATACTTTCGGAAACTACTAGACATCAACAAACATCTTGTGGGCTCTTGAGTTTAAGAGGGAAGTGAGAGGGTAAAGGATAGGTGCACAAGGGATGGTAGAGAGAAAAATTTTTAAAGATTGTTTTCAAGGGCCTCCCCAGTGGTGCAGCGGTTGAGCGCTGGGCTGCGAAGCTGCCGCAGCCTCTGTAGCACCAGTTCGATCCCCGGCGGCTGGTGAGGGTCCCACATGGCACAACAGACCTCTCCTGCTGCCCACTGCTCCCCTCACCAGTGTTTCGTCAGTCTGCCTGTTCTGCTCACCGCTCTCTGGCTCTGGTGAATCCTCTCACCCTCCCGTGCTTCTGACTATACCCAGTGCTTGTATAAATAAATAATAAATAAATAAAGATTGTTTTCAAATGCAGTTTATTACATAAGTTGTAATCTTTTCAAGTTTTAAATTTCATAGCAATTGCAAATCAAACTCAGGCTTTTATTAGTAACTGATAATTTAAAGCAACAAAAATGAAAGGCATCCAGAATAACTGCTGAACTTTCATAAATTGAATTTTCTTCAGTAAGTGCTCTGTTAACAAAATTTACTCTTTTTATTACCACTACACAAAATGGGCAAAAATGTATTACCAAGTATAGTTAGGGATATTAACACTTTTTTTTGTAATTTTGTGTTTTCCACCTTTTCAGAAAATACATGTAAATATTTCATTTGTGAGTTGAGGTAGTAGTAAGACACCAATTAGGATGGTATAATGTAGCTGGGAGTAAGCCTGCTGGTGTAAAATCTAAAAATTAATAGTATAATCGTTTCATAGTTTTGAAATTTTTTGTAAAGAAAAAAAATGTTGAGATTCCCTAGACCTCTGGGTTTTAATTAATTTGTTACAGTGGCTCACAGTACTCAGGGAGAGACCTTTACCAGTTTACTAAAGGATATGTTAAAGGATAGAGCCCTATAAAGAGATAAACAGGATGAGGTCTGGAGAGCATAGGAGCCTCTGTCCCCATGACCTTGCCAATATGTGGATGTGTTCAACATTTTAAATTTCTGAACCTTGTATTTTGAGGATTTTTATGGCATAATCAATTATTCACTTTATTTGCAGCCCCTTTCTCATCTTTAGCGAAGTGGGGCTAAGAATTTCCAATTCATGATGATGGCTTGGTGACCAGCACCCATCTAGGAACCCACCCAAAGTTTCCTCATTAGAGCAAAAGATGCTCCTTGTGCTCTCATAACTTAGGTGTTTTTAAGAACTTTGTGCCAGTAACCAGGGATATATACATACATACATATATATATATATATATATATATATATATAATAATGGCATTATCAGATAGTGATGTTAGCGTTTACCTCATTGCTCAAGAAACTTACCTATGTATGACTGCACACACACACACAAAAAAAAAAGATCAAAATTTGTTCTTTTCTCTTATAGGGATCAGTTCGTTTCTCATTCTTCGGTCTCATTGTTTTATTTTAATATAGAGTCTCTTTCTTTTTAGATTTAATTATTTTTTAAGGATTTTTTTTTTTTTTTAAGATTCATTTATTTATGCATACGAGAGCTGGGTACAGGCCAGAGGTGCAGGGGGATGAGAGGATTCACCAGAGTGGGGAGCAGAACAGGCAGATCTACTGAAATACACTGCCGAAGGAAGCAGCGGGCAAGACAGGAGAGGTCTACTGCACCATGTGGGTTGCTCCCTGGCCGGCTAGGGATGGAACTCGTGCTGCAGAGGCTGCAAATTGCTTCATAGGGTGGTGCTTAACCCCTTGCGCCACCAGGGAGGTCCTGAAATTTAATTCATTTGAACCAAAAAAAAATCACCTATTTTGTCTCATCCCCCACCTCTAGAAACCATCAATTTCTAGTAGTTTTTTTTTTTTTTAAATAATCACATACAAGAGAGATTAAATGGTATTTTTCTCTTTCTGACTCATTTCAGTTAGCATAATGCCTTAGACATCCTTAAATTGGTCTCTTCCATTTTGCCCCCTAGGACTTTTTTGACTTTTCCTACAAAACATTTTTTCTGAAAGACAAATTTTATCATGTGTACTACCTCTAGGATTATGTGTACTCTAGGACTGTGCAGTGGCGTATATGAAAAGATGACAGAAAGCTTAGTTAAAATTCTATCTTAAAAAATTAGCAATAAACTTTATCAGTGGTACACTAATTGCTAGTTTATATGTTAAATTATAAGTAAATACAAATACATCGTGTTAGAGAATAATATTTGTACCAATTATATGAGAAGCTCCAAAGTGTAAGATAATGATAAAGTCATAGTAGACATCTTTTGTTAAAATTTTGTTTTAAATTTTTTGCAGTAGTCTACTCCCCTTGTAGGCGAAGTGAAAATAAGATTGAACACCTGACATTAAGGCAGCACTGCCAAATGTTGCCCAGATTCAGGCCTGTAATTCAGCCAGAGCAGTGGCAGATGTGGCAGGACCCCTGTGGTGTCAGGAACAGTGACGTGGAAGGAGTTCAAGGTGCTGGGAGGCTGGCTGCTATGACCTAGTGACAGTGTGAGAGGGATGTGCTTTTGACAAATTTGTACTATGCCTTAATATAAAATAGTGGCTCTTGACTCATGAGGCTTGAAAAATCTGCTCTGACTATACAGATCAAGGAATTTTAGTTGAAAAATATACTAGGGTGGAAGACTGTTACAGAAAACAAACAGAAATAGATGTGTAACAGTGTGTGCTTGAAATCTTGGATACTATAGAGCAATTAGTAGTAGTGAGGGATTTGTACATGAAAAATGGACAAGGCTTTGTATAAGTTTATTCCATTACAGTACAATCCATATTTAGTGATTTTCAAAATCTGAGAGAACATGTATTTTGAGTTAAAAGTCACCAATGAGGGCCTCCCCCGTGGCACAGCGGTTGAGCGCTGGATTGCAAAGCTGCCCACAGCCTCTGCAGCGCCTGTTCGATCCCTGGCCACCGGGCAAGGGTCCCACATGGCGCGCAGACCTCTCCTGCCGCCCGCTGCTCCCCTCAGCAGTGTATCGTCAATCTGCTTGTACTGTTTCCTGCTCTGGCTCTGGTGAATTCTCTCACCCTCCCGCACTTCTGACTGTACCCAGTACTTGTATGTATAAATAAACAAATCAACAAATAAATAAATAAACAAAAATATTAAATAAATAAATAAATAAATAAATCTTTAAAAAAAAAAGTCACCAGTGAGGTGCTACTGATTCTGGTTAGTAAGAAGTGTGACTTGGAAGGTGTAAGAATTGTAGGAAAGAAAGAAGGTCAAATCTATCAAGACAGCAGAACAACTGCATTTATTTTGCAAAGTCAAAAATAAATGTTAATGAGCTCTTTTATGACCTCGTGTGGCAAATTGAAAAATTCCCAATACCTGGGAATGTTAGGGGGAAAGGATGTCCTGAGATAATCCCATACAGGCTTTGTGGACCCCACCCCTACTCCAGACTAAAGCCATCAAGACATTGGTAAAGACAAATCCCATCACCACCAAAGGGAAGGTGGCTGGGACCTGAGGGTGGCGTTAAGCAGCCACTTTGGGTATAAAAACCAAACACGTGGGCCTTGGGGTCTCTGGCTCTGTCGCTCGCCTCCTGGCTTCATGGCTCCTGGCTTGCGGCCAGCGCTCAGAGTGCCATTTGGGATTCCTGATCGGCGGATCGGGTAGGATGCATTTAAAACTTTTGTCTCCCACTTTTCTCCCTGAGCTGTACATTTCCTCATTTGCCCTTCCCTTGTAAATAAACCTTTTATTAACCTTTCGTGTGTGCCTGCAGTAGAGCATTGATAAGTCCTTTTAAGCATGCGGGTGAGGACCCACAGTCAGGCACCCTGTTTCGTATCGGGGTTGCTCTACAACAGGAAGGCCAGCAAAAGTCATCATTTCAGCTGTTTAAATGTACTAAAAACATTGGAGCTCTGTGAAGGTCTGAAGAACTGTTGCTCAATTCAATAGTTTAATTTTGTTAAACCTACCAGTATCTTAAATGTACTTTCCTGTGGTGGTATCCTTTAAGAGGTGGATGGAAACTACTATATCAGTTTACATATTCTAATCACTTTCCACTATGACAAGAGAGAATTACTTATATAATAGTTCTAGAGTATGGTTAATAAAAGCAGAGGCTAAAAATTAAGTTATTTATTTATTTATTTATTTATGCATACAAGAACTGGGGTACAGGTCAGAGATGTTGGGTGGGGAAGTGGTGAGAGGATGCACCAGAGACAGAGTGGGGAACAGAACAGGCAGATTGACTGAAACACACTGCTTGAGGGGAGCAGCGGGCAAGTCAGCAGAGGCCTGCTGCGCCATGTGGGCAGCTCCCTGGCCGGGGATTGAACTCATGCTGCAGTGGCTGCTGATAGCCTTATAGGTTGTGTCTTTACCCCTTACATGACCAGGGAGGCCCTAAAATTAAGTATTAATGCTAAGAGACATTTTTCATCCACCAGCGATGTACATATATGCAAATGGTATATGCTTTAATACACCCTGTACTCTGCACTGGAGCATACAATAATGTAAATACTAAAAATATCACTATTTTAACATAATAAAAGTCCAAAGAGCTCAGACTATTCTAGATAACTTCACAGCTCTGATATTTGTAGTGTATTGTAATTTTTAAAGAAAAATTCAAGGGCATTACCACTGTATTTTACAAGTAAGTGCTTTGATTTAACACAGCTTATAGGTTTTTTTTTAATTTTTAAAAAACCTGTGGACATAATTGACTTTAAAATATGATAGCCCTTTAAATATAATGTATTAAAGATATTGCCTTTAATATCTGTTGGGATGGCAATGCCTAACTTTTTAATTTTTTTTTTTTAAAGATTTATTTATTTATTTATTTATTTATTTATTCATTTATTTATTTATTTATTTATTTATTTATTTATTTATTTATTTATTTATACAAGCACTGGGTACAGTCAGAAGCGTGGGAGGGTGAGAGAATTCACCAGAGCCAGAGCGGGGAACAGAACAGGCAGACTGACGAAGTACACTACTGAAGGGAGCAGCGGGCGGCAGGAGAGGTCTACGTGCCATGCAGGACCCTCCTCTGGTGGCCGGGGAGCAGCTGGGGATCGAACCAGTGCTGCAGATGCCGCAGGCAGCTTCGCAACCCAGCACTCAACCGCTGCGCCATTGAGGAGGCCTTTAATTCTTTACTGTTTATAGTTGTATGGTACATGGGGGTCTACAATAAGTTTATATTTTCATTTTTTTTTAATGATTCAACAATTCCATAAATCATATTCGGGCTTTTGTAGCTGTAGATCTCACTGCATCTTTTGTTTGCTCATGCATAAGTATATACCAAATATAGAATTTTAGTATTTTTGTTAGCAATTTGTCACATATGTAAAGTTTTAGTTAAGATGTTAAATGGTGGAAGACTAAGTGAATGTGCATAGGTGAAGTAATTTTTTTCATGTGTCATTGGTTACAAGGCCTAAATTGCAGCAATTTTTGCTGTTTTTATTTAACAATGCCTTGTTGCTTAGTATGCATTAACGAGTGGATGTAGAGATTTTGTGTCTATCCAACAGGGAGCCACAATATTTATATTAACCAGCCTAATGTGCTACTTTGAGGTAGCCAAAAGTGCTGCAATTTTGTATAACTTACGCAATGGTAATTTTGTAAATTTGGATTGCCATGCAAGAAGTTGCATAATAAATAAATAATAAATATATCCACATAAATATTCTCAGCATTGCAAATCTGACATAAATTAAATTTTAAAGTATTTTTCATACCCTTCAGACCGAAAAGAAAAAAATGTGCTTTACAGGCATCTCTGTCATTCAAGGACGTGACTGTGGAGTTCACCCAGGATGAGTGGCAGTACATGGTCCTGCGCAGAGGGCCCTGTACAGAGACGTGATGCTGGAGAACTACAGCCACCTTGTCTCAGTGGGTGAGCAGCCCTTACCATGTAACTCCTAGAATGCAAATCTGTTTTCTCTTTCCTGTTAAATTTCTTAATTATTTTGTGTTGAGATTTAATTAACAGAAAATAAGAAGTCAGTAATTTTCAGCATATAACATGATCAGTTTCAGAAATGTCTACAGGTGATTACCTCCACCTAAATAATCATGTAAAATATTTTTGTCACCTCAAAAAATGTCCCTACAACCTTTTGCAGTTACTCTTCTCCATCACTCCCAACTCCTGTGAACCACTGAACTACTTTACTACTTTCTACGACAGCAATTTTGCTCCTCTATATACCTCATGCAGAATTTTTTTTTCTTTTTTCCACTTAGCTTTTGAAATTTATGCATGTATTTGTGTACATTTTTCTTGTTCATAAGTGGTAATATTTTGCATACATATACATTATAGATGTGTGTACTACATTATATGGGATTTTCCTTTTTTGTGCTTCACAGATACTGTGTTTTTGGTAAAGTATAGTATAGCCATGCTGCATTGAGTAAGAGTGTTGTCGCTATTTTTCCAATAGCAAGTACCCACTTTATTTCTCTGTGCGACATTTTGGTAATGCTCACAATATTTAAAACAATATCTGTTGTGGTCTGTGGTCAGTAGTTTTTGGTATTAGTATTAAAATTGTTTTGGGATGTCACATTCAGAACCCATATAGGACTGTGTACTTAATTAATAAGTGTTGTATATATTCTGACTGCTCCACCACTTGCCATTCCCCAGTGTCTCTCCTTCTCCTCTTCCCCGAGATATAACAATATTGAAGTTGCACCAATTAAAGAGCCTACAATGGCATCTAAGTCTTCAAGTGAAAGAAAGAACCGCACATCTCTCACTTTAAATCAAAAGCTAGAAATGATTAAACTGAGTGAGGAAGGTTTGTCTAAAGCTGAGATAGGCCGAAAGCTAGGCCTTTTGCGCCAAACAGTTAGCCAGGTTGTGAATGCAAAGGAAAAGTTTTTGAAGGAAATTAAAAGCGGTACTCCAGTGAACACACGAATGATTAGAAAACGAAACAGCCTTATTGCTGATATGGAGAAAGTTTTAGTGGTCTGGATAGAAGCCCAAACCAGCCACAACATTCCCTTAAGCCAGAGCCTAATCCAGAGCAAGGCCCTAACTCTCTTTAATTCTATGAAGGCTGAGAGAGGGGAAGAAGCTGCAGAGGAAAAGTTTGAAGCTAGCAGAGGTTGGTTTATGAGGTTTAAGGAAAGAAGCTGTCTCCATAACCTAAAAATGCAAGCTGAAACACCAAGTGCTGATGTAGGAGCTGCAGGAATTTACCGGGAAGATCTTGCAAAGATAATTGATGAAGGTAACTATACTAAACAGCAAATTTTTAATGTAAATGGAGCAGGCTTATGTAAGATGGAATCTGTTCCTGGTGATGGTACTGAAAACAATGTTGAAATGACAACAAAAGATTTAGAATATTACATAAACTTAGTTGATAAAGCAGCAGCAGGATTTGAGAGGATTGACTCTAATTTTGAAAGAAGTTCTACTGTGGGTAAAATGCTGTCAAGCAGCATTGAATGCTACAGAGAAATCTTTCGTGAAAGAAGGAATGAATCAATGCGGCAAACTTCATTGTTGTCTTATTTTAAAAAATTACCACAGTCACTCCAACCTTCAGCAACCACCACTCTCATCAGTGAGCAGCCATCAACTTCAAGGCAAGATTCTCCATCAGCAAAACGATTACGACTCACTATAAACTCAGATGATGGTTAGCATTTTTAGCAATAAAGTATATTTAAATTCAGGTATATACATTTTTTATAGATAAATGCTATTGCACACTTAAAAGACTATATTATAGACATAGCTTTTATATGTACTGAAAAACCAAAAATTCTGTGTATCTTGTTTTGTTGCAGTGATTGCTTTATTTTGGTGATCTGAAACCAAACCTACAGTATGTCCAACATGTGCCTATACTAGTCGATAGATGTAGGATTTTTTCTCTTTGGGCTGTTAGGAATAAAGCTCTTATGTCCATTTAGTTACAAGTCTTTGGATTTATATTTGTTTTCATTTTCTTGTGTAAATATGTATAAGTATGGTATTACTGATCTTATGGTAACTTTATAAGAAATTGCCAGATGTTTTCAAAGTGCTGTGCCTATTTGCATGACCTTTAGCAGTGTGTGATAGTCCTATTTGTTCTACATCCTCATCAATATTTAGTAGTTTGAGTCATATTTTTAATTTTTTGTGATAAAGATTCTTTGATTCTTGTTCAGTTTTATTTGTATTTTCCTAATGATTATGGTTTCTAATTTAACTAATTTAACTAATGGTTTCTAATTTCATGTATTTTTGGCCATTCATATATTTTCTTTTTCTGAAGTCTACTCAAAACTTTAATGTATATTTTTAAAAATTGAAGATTTTTGGTCTTATATAGTTGAAAGACTCCTTTATATTATCTAGGTACAAGACCATTATCAGATAAATATTGAGTTAATGTTTTCTGCCTCTGTGTGCTTATTCTGACTTTCTTGCAGTCTTAGAAAGTCTTGATTTCATTTGTTTTTTAAGGTATTTTTTTTCATATTCATGGTTTTTGTGTCTTTTTTAAAAGATATTTTTGCCTAACACAAGGTCATTAAAAATATTATCTTAAAGACATTATAATTTTACATGGAGACATATAATTCACTGTCAGTTAATTTTTCCACATGTTACGAAGTAATTTTTCTATATGGAGTGAAGTAAGAGTTTTGACTCATTTTTCACATCTCTGGGTAGTTATATCAACAGCAATTTGCTAGAGAATTACTACTTTTCTAATGGACTTCCTTGGCATTTTGTCAAAAACAAAGTGAACTTGTGTCTTTACTTCTGTGTGTGTGAACTCTATTCTGTTTGATAGGTCTGTGTGTCAACACCTTTTCATTATAAAGTTATGTTTATTATTATACTTAATCATTTCAATATCAGTTTAAGGACTTCCTGTCAATTTCATTGAAAACTTTCCTTGGAATTCTGATTGAGATAATCTTGAGTCTTCACAATTGTCTGGGGACACTTACATCTTCACAATATTGAGTCTTCTGATCCATTAAAATGATAGCTGTCTCCCTTTAAGACTTTAATTTTTCTTTGCAGTGATTCATAGCATACACTGTATATGTGTTACACATAATTTGTTAGGTGGAGTTCATGATTTTGGAGGTGGTATAAATGGCATGTATTTTACTATTTCAATTTCCAATTATTTGTTGGCAGTATGTAGATATTCTAGCTGATTTATGTATACTGACAGTGTGTTTTGTAACTTAACCCATCTATTTATTCTAGCAGATCTTTTCAAGATTCCCATGGATGTGTTACATGTTTAATTATTTTATTTATGAATAAAGATCTGTCACTTCTTTAATACTAAACTGTATGCCTTTTATTTCCTTTTCTTTAATAACTGGCTAGGACCACTAGTGTTACATTGACTACAAGTGGTACAGGAAGATGCATGTCTTGTTTCTAATCTTAGGGGTAAAGTGGTCATTCTTCACCATGTTATAATTAATTAAAGTAGTTTTTTTTTTTAAGATTTATATATTTATGCATACAAGAACTGGGGTGTAGGCTAGAGGTGCTGGGGTAAAAGGATTCACCAGAGACAGAGTGGGAACAGAACAGGTGGATCTACTGAAATACACTACTGAGGGGAGCAGCAGGTGAGACAGAAGAGGTCTGTGCCATGTGGATTTCTCCCTGGTCGGCTGGGCATGGACTTGAGCTGCAGTGGCTGGCTATAGCTTGATCACACTGTGTATTTAACCCCTGCACCACCCAGGAGGCCTAAAGTAGTTGGGTTTTTTAAAGCTGCTTTTTATATGCTTGTAGAAGTTTCCTAGTCTGCTCAAAGTTTTTTAATTCATTGATTTGATAGTCCTCATTGAATTTCTCAAATGTTCTTTCTGTATCTATTAAGCTAATAATATGGTTTTTCTTTTTATTCAGTCACTATTGTAAATTTTATTGATCTTTGAACTTGCATTCATTCTTAAATTCCTGGGAAGAAACCCACTTAATCATACTATATTATATTTTTGTATTCTTAGATTTGGTTCACTAACATTTTAAGGATTTTTGCATCTGTATTCTAGATTTTCCTGCATTGTCTCCTTATGGATTCAATAATATGGTAATACTTGTGTTACAGAGTGAGTTGAACCATTTCTACTATTTCCTTGCAGAGATGGGAGAGAATAATTTTTCCTTAAATTTTTAGGAGAATTCACCATTGAAGCTATCTGAACCTGGCGGGAAGTTTTTCATTAAGAGTGAAATTTTCTTTTCTTTCTATTACTGAGGTAAAATGTACATAAAATGTACATAAAATATACATAAAATGTATAAAGGGCCTCCCCTGGTGGTGGCACAGGCTGTTGAGCGCAGCGCTGTGAAGCTGTCTGCAGCCTCTGCTGCACTGGTTCAATCCCGGCCTTGCCGGCGAGGGTCCCACATGGCGCGGCAGACCTCTCCTGTCTTGCCCGCTGCTCCCCTCAGCAGTGTATTTCATCAGTCTGCCTCTTCTGTTCCCCACACTGTCTCTGGTGAGTCCTCTCACCCTCCCACGCATCTGGTCTGTACCCCGGTTCTTGTATAAATAAATAAATAAATCTTTTTAAAAAATGTACCATCATAAAAATTGTCACACGTAGAATGCTGTGGGATTAAATATATTCATTTTATTATGCAGCCATCATAAACATCTATCTCCAAAACATTTTCATCTTCATCAACTGAAACTACCTGTTACTTGCTAACTCTCCATTCCTCTCTCCCCCGAGTCAGTATAACCATTGCCTCTATTAATTTGACTATTCAAAGTAAATATAAGTGGATTTGTACAGTATTTCTCTATCTGGCTTCTTAGCATAATATCTTTAAGTTTACTGTATTGAATAACATTGGTGAGAACAGATATGCTCTCTGATTTGTTCCTAGTACTTGGGGGAAGGCAGTCATTCTTCCATTACTAAATTCACTATTAACTATATGTTTTTTATAGATGTTCTTTATTGAGTTGAAGACATTCTTAATTCCTAGTTCTTTTGGGATTTTTATTAAACAGGCATTAATTCTGTCTATTTGAGCATTATTTTGCTGTGCTGTTTCTAATTTCTTGACATGAATGTGTGAGACTTTTTCTGTTTTTCGTGTAAGAATTTAGTTGGTATAAATTTCCATCCTACAGATTTTGATATGTTGTGTTGTCATTGTATTTTTTCCAGTGTATTTTTTTTATTTCCCTTGAGACTTCCTCTTTGAAGGATTATTGGGAGAAGGTTCTTAGGTTCAGAATATTTTGGAAATTTTTCTGTACTTGCTGTTATTTATTTTTAGTTTAAAGCACACTCTCTTTCAAATCTGTTAAAGCATTTTATTTTCTTTTAATGCCCCTGCAGATTATAGTAGAGAGTTTTTTTGAGTCTCTTGAGTAGAGAGTTTTTTAAATGTCTATTAGATCTTGCTAGCTGATGGTATTGTTGAGTTGTATATCCATAGTTATTTTCTGTCTAGTTCTATTAGTTGTTGGAAATGGGTGTTGAAAGGTCTAACTATAATTATAGATTTATCTTTCTCCTTTTTTAGGTCTCCTTTTGTTTTATATTTTTTGAAGCTTTGTGATATACATATTCAGTATTCCTATGTTTTAGTTGATTTTACCTTTAATAACTAAGCAATTTTCCTTCTATGTCTGTTAATATTTGTTGCTCAGCATTCTCCTTTATCTGTATTGATTGCATGCTATATCTTTTTCTGTCCTATTACTTTCAACTTACCTATATCACTACTTTGAAATGAGTTTCTTATACACAGCACCATAGTTCCCTATCTGTGGAGATAAGTTCTAAAACCACCTAGTGGATGCCTGAAACTATAGTTCTGAACCCTGTATATACTATGTTTTTTTTCTGTACTTACATTCCTGTGGTAAAATTTATAAGTTAGGCATAGTAAGAGATTAACACAATAACTAATAAAATGGGCCAGTTACAGTAATATACTACAATAAAAGTTATGTGAATATGGTCTCTCTCTAGCTCTGCCTCTTAAAATATCTGTATTCTACCTCCTTCTGGTATGAGATATACATTGAGGAGGAATTTTTTTAATTTAATTTATTTTATATATTTTATACATCATTTTTCATTTTTGCACAATGTATGCATTTTCATATTGGTTATATTCCCCATACAATTCCCAATCCCCCTTATTTTGACCAAGTCCCTCCTGCCCTCCTCCCCTCACGCCCAACCCCCTTTCCCCATAGTATATCTCTGGTTTATAGTTGCTTGTTGATTTTGATTTTTACTTTATTGTAATTAGTACTCTGTGTTGAGGAGGAATATTTAAAAACTCTTTTCAGTGTGGGTAACAGACACACAGTGAAACTCACTGGGGGCGAGGGTGGGCTACTAAATATAGCTGGATTATATTTTAAATATATCTATTTCTGTCAAAATGTGTGTTTAGATCATTACATTTTTTAAAAAAAAATAATTTATTTATGCATACAAGAGCTAGGGTGTAGCCAGAGGTGCAGGGGGTGAGGGATTCACCAGAGACAGTGGGGAGCACAACAGGCAGATTGACTGAAATACACTGCTGAGGGGAGCAGCGGGCAAGACAGGAGAGGTCTGCTGCACCATGTGGGTCACCTCCCTGGCCTGAGATTGAACTGGTGCTACAGTAGCTGTGGATAGCTTCCTAGTGATGACACTTAACCCCTTTTACCATGAGGGAGGCCCCTGTTTAGATCATTACACTTTATGTAGTTATTGGCATGTTAAGTCTTAGGTGTGCTGTTTATTATTTTCTTTTGTTCTTTTTTGTTTTTCCGCATTCTTTATGGGTTACTCGAACAACTTTTGAGTTCCATTTTATCTGTTTTAGTATTTATGAGAGTGTTTCCTTACAGTTTTTTTTAGTGGTTGCTGTAGATATTCTTTTTATATGAATTACCAAGTTTGCTTCTGTTAAAATTTTACCCCTTTGAGTGAAGTATACTTTCTTTTACCTTCTCTCATTTATAATATAATTATTTTTAAGTATTTTCTCTGCAGACTGAGAACTATATCATTATTATACTTTTTATTTCAGCCATCATCAGTTTATGAAATGTAAGAGGAGGAAAACCTATTGAATTGCATATATTTTTTTTACCCTTTTTATTCTTTTTTCTAGAATCTTACTCAACATTTGCAGTCTATTTAGAGAACTTTCTTTAGGCATTCTTTCAAAGTAATTAGGCTGATGACAAGTTTTTTTTTATTTTTGGCTCATCTGAGAATGTAAATAGTGCTGCAGTAAACATGGAGGTACAGGTGTTCTTTTGAATCAATGTTTTTGTGTCCTTTGGGTAGATGCCTAGTAGTGGAATTGCCAGGTCGTATGGTAGCTCCATCTTTAGTAGACTGAGGAACCTCCACACAGCTTTCCATAGTGGTTGGACCAGTTTGCGCTCCCACCAGCAATGTAGGCGAGTTCCTTTTTCACCACATCCTCGCCAACATTTGTTGTTGCTTGTTTGATATGTGCCATTCTTACTGGTGTAAGTTTGTATCTCAGTGTGATTTTGATTTGCATTTCCCTGATTATAAGGGATGTTGAACATTTTTTCATATGCCTGTTGGCCATTTGCATTTCTTCTTTGGAGAAATGTCTTTTAAGTTCTTCTGCCCATTTCTTGACTGGATTATTTATTTTGTTTTTGTTGAGCCATGTGAGTTCTTTGTATATCTTTGTGATCAGTCCTTTAGTTGAATGGAGTGCAAAGATTTTTTCCCCAATCAGTGGGGTGTCTCTCTGTTTTGGTTAATGTTTCTTTTGCTGTACAGAATCTTTTCAATTTGATGTAATCCCAGATAATTATCTTTTCCTTGACTTTCTTTGCTTTGGGTGATGAGTCTTTAAGGATATTTTTGAGATGTCTTGTAGTGTTTTAATTATATTTTCTTCTATATATTTTATGGTTTCAGGTCTTATGTCCAGTTCTTTTATCCATTTTGAGTTGATTTTTGTGCAAGGTGAGAGGTAGTGGTCTAGTTTCACTTTTTAGCATGTGGTGGTCCAGTTTTCCCAGCACCATTTATTGAACAAACTCTCTGTGTTCCACTGCATATTCTTTGCCCCTTTGTCAAAGATTAGTTGTCCATATAAGTGTGGCTTTATTTCTGGGCTCTCTATTCGGTTCTATTGGTCTGTGTGCCTGTTTTTGTGCCAATACCAAACTGTTTAAATTATTATGGCTTTGTAGTATGGCTTGAAGTTTGGAAGTGTGATACCTCCTTTCTCTTTTGTTTGCATCAGTAGAGCTGTGGCTATTCGTGTTTTTTTGTGATTCCATATGAATTTCATCGGTATTTGTTCTATATCTTTGAAGAATGTCATTGAGATTTTTATTGGAATAACATTGAATCTATAAATTGCTTTTGGTAGGATGGCCATTTTAATAATGTTAATTCTTCCAATCCATGAGCAGGGGATATCTTACCATTTCTTTGTGTCTTCTTAAATTTCTTTTAACAGTGTTTTATAATTTTCTTTGTATAGGTCCTTTACCTCTCTTGTTAAGTTTATTTTCAAGTATTTGATTTTTTTGTTTCAATTATAAAAGGGATGGTTTTCTTTATTTCTTCTTCAGATTGTTTGTTTGTGTATAGGAAGGCTACTGATTTTCGTGTGTTGATTTTGTATCCTGCTACATTACAAACTGGTTGATTATTTTGAGTAGTTTTTCTGTGGAGTTTTTAGGTTTCTCTACATATATTGTCCTATCGTCTGCAAATAGTGATAGTTTTACTTCTTCTTTCCCTATTTGGATTCCTTGTATGTCTTTCTCTTGTCTTATTGCCCTGCCTAGGAGTTCCAGTATTATACTGAA